CGCCTTCGCCAGCACCGACGCCAGCACCAACGATGGCGCCGACGCCAGCATCGACGCCAGCACCGACGCCAGTACTTGGGCCTGCGCCTACGCCGGCACCAACGCCAGCGCCCACACCGGCGCCGACGCCAGCATCGACGCCAGCAGCAAAGGTGCACTGGTGAGCTGCCCAGCTCACTGGTATTCCCTCCAGCCTGGTCGCTAGTGCCAGTCCCAACACCAACCCCGACTCCCCCACTCCGACGTCCAACACCGACGCCGGCACCGACGCCAGCACCAACGCTAAGCCAGCAGAAATGCTAGCGCCGATGCCAGCCAGCATCGACACCAGCACCGACGCCAGCCTTGCAAGCACCTGCACCGGTGACAACGCCGGCACCGACGCCAGCACGAGCACCAGCGCCCACCCCGGCGCCGACGCCAGCGCCGACGCCAGCGCGCCGGTGAGCTGCGCGGCTCTCCGGTGTCCGAGGAGCGCACGCTGGCGCTTGCGCCGGCGCAGACGCCAGCACCGACGCCAGCATCAGCACCTGCGCCGATGCCGGCACCAACGCAAGCGCCTGGTCCGCCCCACCGCCTCGCCCTGGGGGCCCGGCGCCTGGGGTTGCAGGTGGGCCGCGCCTGTCCTCCTGTTGCATTTTTCCGCCTCCTCCTAATATTTTTTTTTTTTTTTTTTTGCTTTTCCTCTTTCTTTTCTCTTCTTTTGCTTGTCCTCTTCTTTTGCTATTCCTTTTTTTTGTTCTTTCGATCGGTCGCGCGTGATTTGATTTATGGTGCAGACGGGCTTTTTGCCCAGCTCGGGGCGCCCGCCCACTCGGAAGCCTCTGCCCTTCCGTTCCGCGGGGGTGGGCGCCGCTGGTGGCTTCGGTGCGCCACGATCGTCCTACCCATGCCCTTCTTCCATGTGCCTTACTCCCGATTGGGACTGTTGGTGCTGTCCGAGAGTGGGTGGCCCGCCAGTGGAGCCCTTGGCTGCGACCTGGCATCCATTAGATATCGTTTCTCGGGCGCCCTGTCCCCTTCCCTTCTCGTTTCTCTTTCTCTTCCTCTCTCTCTTTCTCTCTTTGTCTCCTCTTGCTACCCTTAGATCGGCAATGCGCTGTTTCGCTGTCTGCGCTGAGAGGGGTCGCGCACGTCCCTCGGCTTCCCCTCCCTCCTTCTGCACCTCCTTCTGTGGCCGGTGCTTTATTTTTCCTGGCAGGGGCCAGAGTTTAAAGCAGTCGGCGTGTGGGACAGCCGAAATGTTGGCGGCTGAGCTACCCTCGCTCCCTCCTCGGCCTCCTCTGCTCCGCCTCTCCTGGTTATTTTTCCCACCTGCTGGGGTGCTTCCAGGCGCAGCCGGCCATCCTGAGTGGGCGCCGGCGTGTCGCGCATTTGCTGGCAGACCCGCGGCGCCGCCCGCGCTGATGCTGGGCGCAGGAACGAAATCTTCGCTCCTTCTCTCCTGGCGTTTTCCTTTTTCCTTCGTCCCCCCCCTTCCCTTCCTCCCGTTCTCCCTCGTTATCCCCCTCTTTCTGCAGGGCCCACGCCGGTTCCAATGGCGGGCGCATGTGCGCCCGCGAAGAATTGTCCGCCCGTTCAGGCTTGCCCGCCTGTGTAAGCCCGCCGCCCCCGCGAAGAGAAAAAATCCCCCCCAACGGGGTGTGATCGAAGACAGGAGGGGCGGGTATCGAGGGTGTGGGGAACTCGTTTTGACTGGCACACGGGCAAGTAAGAGCGAACAGTCTTATAATGATTGCTGTTGTTGTCGTCGTTGTCGTTTTCGTTGTCGTTGTTGTTGTTGTGGTTGCTGTTGTTGTTTTTGTTGTTGGGGGGCGGGTCGTCAAGGAAGGCTCCTGTCCCCCCCAAACCAGGAACTCCGGCCGTCGCCCTCATCAAAGTCGCCCAGGAACGGCCCTATTTTTGTTGTTGTTGTTGTTGCTGCTGTTGTTGCTGTTGTTGTTGTTGTTGTTGTTGTTGTTGTTGTTGTTGTTGTTGTTTTTGATGTTGTTGCAGCTGTTGTTGTTGATGTTGATGTTGTTGAACATTATTACTTCTAAAGAATAATTATTGTTGGGGCCCCTGGTGCGCGACCCCCCCGCCGCGCCTAGGCCGCAGCCTCATTTTCATCATTTTCGTGAGGAAGTCTCAGGCAAAACGGGTTGGTCCGGATCCGGTTGTGTTGTTACGATCGGTTTTCCCTTGCAAAAAATAAGCTAAAGTGGACATTTCTTGTTCTAACATAACCAAACTTCAAGAATCCCTTGCAAAAAATAAGGTAAAGTGGACATTCGCGCGCGCAAGACGAAATCCTTCCAAAACCTTAGTGTTCGCAGCGATTTTAACATAAAAACATCAAAAAACCAATGGTTTTTCAACAAAAAAATGTCAAAATCTCATCCCGCGCGCTCTTGCGGATTCGTAGGAAACCCAACACTTTTTAAACATTTCTGTCAAACGGGCTTTTGCGAGCAACTTTTTCGAACTTCTGCGACAACGGTTGCGCACCTGCCAGGGCCATCATCCCTGTCAAATAATACCATGCGGGACACATTCGTTTTTTCTTCGCGCGCGCACGCCGTCGTCGTCGGCCGCGGGGCCCTGAATAGTAGCCACGGTCGTCCGCATGCCACGAAGTGAAGTGTCCGAACGTCATAGGGCGGGAAGCTGGGTGTGGGTGGTGGCGAAGAGTCGTTTGGAAATTTGGTAGAGCTTGAACCGGCCCCCCCACAAAGTGGGGGTATTGCCCGCCTCCTATGACAACCCTGGCACTGGTGAGAACGGTGTGTCCCCACGTGCTAGTAATTGTTGTTGTTGTTGTTGTTGTTGTTGTTGTTGTTGTTGCTGTTGTTGTGGTTTTTGTTTGAAAACGTCGCACCTGAGCCGACCATCTTTGCCAGTGCAGGTCGCGATTGCATATGATTTGCACGAGTTGTGGCCAGTGTGCAGGTATGCAAGTATTCATCAGGGCGTGACTGTGTTGCGAGCCGTAGCCGCCGAGGCTCGAAGTTAGAAGTCGCAGGACACGTCCCAAAACCAGGCGGAAAAACTGCGCAATCACAGCTTGAGAGTCCTTTGGTACGGTAAGGGCGTTTGTTAAGGAATGTGCCCAGGAGGCTTCTGACCTTGGCATAACCAATGCACGATTGGAGTTCCACCAGCTTCCAGACCCTGGATTCCTTATCCAACGCTTCCTTATGCAATGCCCCCACGGTATCATCGTGCAGTTGTATGCGAGCGGGACCGCTCGTACGTCGTGCCCCCAAGGTCGAAGCCCCGCTGCAGAGGCGCAGCGTGGGCCTGGTCGTGGGCGGGCCGTGGCGCAACGCAGCACGGCCTCTCGCGCGCGTGCTGCCCCGCAGGCAGTCCAGGCCTTCGGCGCCAATGGGCGCGGTGGCGTGTGGCATGTTGACCCACACCTCCTCCTCCTCCTCCTCCTCCTCCTCCTCCTCCTCCTCCTCCCTCTCCTCCTCCTCCTCCTCCTCCTCCTCCTCCTCCTCCTCCTCCTCCTCCTCCTTCCCCCTCCTCCCCTTCCTCCACCTTCTCTTCCTTCTCCTCCCCCGCCAGGCTGTGTCAGCATGGCGCACCCTCGGGCGCTGACGCAATCTGACGATGAAGTGCCGGGGCTTTTGTTCTTGAACGGTGCCCTCTGTTCGCTTGGAATTGTTGCCGACCGCATCAGCACCCATGTGCTTACGGTGGGCCGTATGGAAAGCGCTCCGTGAGGAACAGGGATTTTCTGTCGGACAAAGTGGCTCTTGCAGGCAAGCTTCTGTCTTAGATAAGAGCATCGGGGGAACGTGAGACTCGAATAAGCTGGAATTCGGGTTTGCAGACGTTTTTCGACGAGTGCGTCCTGGATTCTGACTGTCCGGTTTCCGTGGGATGTTTGCAGTGGGAGCTCACGTCAAATTCAGATTGGGTTTCGTCATTTTCATTGGTGGTCCCATCAGGCCAACCCATCCCCCGAACCCGAGTCGTACGTCTCCCCGGGAGCAGTGCCTCCTTTGAGTGGCTTTTCGCTCTTACCTGCCGTTGTGGGGTATGGGCAGCTTTTGGGTTCACTGCGTGCCCAGAGTTGCTCTGCCTTGCCTCATCGATTGGTCTCGCCTTGCACTTCCTTGCCGTGCCATCCCTAGCCCTGCCATATGCCTGGCCTGAGCTCGCCTGGCTTCATACTGCTATTCGGCCTTCTCCAGGCTTGTCTCGGCTGGCCTTGCCTTGCCTTGCCAGTTCTCTCGCCTGCTCCTGCTTCCGATGTTGAGCCCGCTGAACAGTACCCGAGATCGCTCTTACAGACACCCGTTCCAAAACAGTTGCAAGTTCTCTCCGAGAGATCTGGCAGATCAGGCTCACTGCCATTCAAGACGCCCTTGACCTGTTTGAGCGGGGTGCCATGCTGAAGAAGACACAGTCACAGCCGCTGGGCGCGCGCGGCTCGTCCGGAGGGCGGGGTGCTCAGTCCGATCGGGGTGCCGTGTCTATTCGTTGGCACCACGGCTGTGCGATTGTGGAAGTCGACTAATGGAGAGGAAGCATGCTGCCAAATAATTTCCAGATGTCTAAGACATGTTTCAAACATGTTTTTTATATGTAAAGCACATGTTTGAAACATGTTGAGAACATGTTTTACACATTTCAAACACACTTCTAAATCAATGATAGGATTGTTCGAGTGTCCGTTGTCAGGACATCCACAAGTCTATTCGTTGGCACCACGGCTGTACGACGTCTTGGTAACTGTCAGCGCAGTTCCACCTCTGCGGAAAGCTGCCGCGAGACTATTGTTATGACTCAGCGCTCTTGCCAGCACACCGTCGTCATGTCCAGCGAGGCCTCTTCTTCGCCCCGGTGGCGACATCACCTTGCCTCTTCTTTTACTTCATATGCAGCGCCGAGCCTCGCTCTTGCACCTGATGTAAATCGACATCACATGAGCCTCTGCAAGTAAGTTGGGAGGGTGGAGAGTTATCACCACTTGATGGCTAGCAACCTCTGGACCCTCCCGTTGCCTCACCAAGGTCTGGCGGCTGACGCAGGAGGTGCGGGAGCTGAAGGAGCGCCTCGCGACCGCCTGCTGCTCCAGCTGCTCAGAGAATCGACTGCAAACGAGGGGGGGAAATGAGAAGGAGAAGGCCCTATCAGAAGGTGGCGGGGTTTCTTAGAAGCCCATCGGCCTTCTGAGAAGTTATCTGTGTCGTCGGGGAAGGCTTAGAACACTTCTCAGGGCATGGGGACTTCCAAGCCTTCTGAGAAGGCCCGCCCCTTCTCATTTCCCCCTGGGGCTCGCCGCCGAACGATGCAGATGCCGCTACCTGTCCCTCGTCGCCGCGGTCGGATTCGCCTCGACATCCTGGTCAGAGCGCACGCCCCTGCGCATTACCTCGCAGCATCGGATCTCAGGGTCAGGCTGCCTGGAAGCGGGGTGGCATCCGAGGATGCCCCCCACCCAGGGAGGCTGTTCGGACACGGCCTCGTCGAGGACGGCCGCCCCCACCATCTGTGGATTGCATCCTCCTCCTCGGGCGGGCTCCTCGTCAAAATCCGCCGCCGTCACTTGCCGCCTCTGGGCCGATGCGGCCCGACCCGACGTACGTTCCGATTCGTCCGAACTTCTCGGTCCCGTGCTGATTGGCTTGTGTAGGTGGGCATAATGGAGGATGACGACTAATAAATGACCGGGGGTCGTGTTCACGCGGCGGCGCCCGGGATGACGATTAGAAAAAACCGGCCGCGGGCTGGGATTTTTTTTTTTTTTTTTTTTTTTTGTTTGTTATCCTCCAGTCAGAAACTTGTGCAGAAATAACAGAAAACTATTTGTTTAATCGTTCTCTCCCATTTCTTCATTAATCGTCATCCCGCATTAACCATGCAGTGTCCGAGGTGCGCGAGGATTTCTTGGTTCGGCGCTGGGCCTCCCTTGGCGGCGCCTCCGACGCCGACGCAAGAGCTCCGCGCGGACTTCCGAGAGCTGGTGCTCATGAATTTTTGATTGTTTCTGTTTTGATGTGCACCACGCAACCTGGGGCGTGTCGACACGGAGCCGGACACGCAGATTGAAGACGCAAGTTTGGCGCGACGCATTCGCTACGGTGCAGCTCACGTCGTGGTGAGCCAGGAAGAAGCGTGTTCGGCCCGGGCTGCTTGAGTACGGTGCGTGTTGCGTTTTGACGTGGTTGCCACCACCCACCAAGCCACCCCAACCCGACCCGAAGGCCCCAATTGGCCCTCCATGCCCATCAGTCATCGCCCCAAGGTTGCCCTCCATTCCGAGTGGAGGGGTGCCGGGGAACAGTGACCAAACACAGATGAAGCCCGTACGGTAGGTTCGTGTCGTGTCGACCGGCGGCGACCCCGCCAGCGGCGTTCAACTTTGAACGCCGCGGGCGACCCAGAATCGTTCGATGTGGAACGATTTGGACGTTTCGGAAACGGCCGATCGTTCAAGGTTGAACGATCCCCGCGGTGTCAGAAACCAACGCCGAAGTCGGCACGACACGGACCTGCCGTACCCCTCCAACCCGAAATTCGGGTCTTCGGGCTGGGTTGGGGTGGTCCGGTAGGCGGTCACGCTGCGACAGGGCAGCCGAGCCCCGCAGCCCGACCTCTCCAGTCAGGGCGCGGAGGTAAGGACCACTTCCCTCGATGCTCGTTTCGGGGACCTTCCTGGAGCCCACCTAACGGATCTGTTCGACCCCAGTTCGACTCAAGTTCGACTCAAGTTCGACTCAAGTTCGACTCAAGTTCGACTCAGGTTCGACTCAGGTTCGGCTCAGGGTCGACTCAGGGTCGACCCACATCGACTGACGTTCGACGCAGCTTCGACGCACGAGTGCAGCGAGTGGCTCCAGGAAGGTCCCCAGAACGAGCATCTAAACTTCCTGGGCTCGGGAGGAGCTCTTGTCTTCGGGCCGTTTCTCTCCAAGTCGGGGTCGACTACAAAATCGGTGTAACCCAGAATCGATTTGCTCGTCGAGTCTACGAAAAGACGTGGACTGATCCGTATGTCTACGAACATTATACGTACTTCTCTTCTAACTTCAACGCGAAGATCAATTTCGGGGGGTACATCAATTCCGTAGTCGATCCCCTACTCGATTCTTGGGATCTGAGTCGTGGGACCCGTTCCCGGCCGAGGAGCGCCGTGGCCAGACGAGCCCCTGCGCTCCTTGGTCAGCTCTCCTTTGGGTACGGTCGGACCGACGTATAAACTCGAGGCTGCTCTGGGGGGTACCCTACTGTTCTGCGTGTTTGTTCGAGTATCGAGGTTTTCGGACGTTTTCGTCGGTTCTCGGCGGTTTTCCAGCCTCGGGATGCGTTCAAGCGGCTGCGCCTCGCCGAGAGCGTTCCGGGGGGGCCGGCATCGTCCCGAACGGCCGCCGGAGACCCGAGCTTTGCCCCCACAACCAAACTTGGTCGGACCGAGGTGTAAGATCGAGGTTGGTTCAGGGAGGGGGCGCTACTGTTCTTCGTGTTTGTTGGGTATTCTTGTGCATCCTTGGGAGGGTGTCCATGTTCTGCTTGTTTTGGCCGACGGAGGGTCTCATGTTCTCGAAGGATGCTCTTCTGGCCTAGGGTCCGACTGAAGTACGACGACTTTGCAGAGACATTCGGTCTCTCGGGTGTGCATCTTGTGCTATTCATGCTCATGTTTTCGGCCGCCGGCCGATATCGGCCCAGATTCTGTCGTTCGGCGATCTTGTGACGGGGTGCTGGTGTTGCCGCTCCCTGTGTGGTCTGGCCTTGTGCCCCGCCGCCGCTGGCCCCCCCCCCCCCGCGGCGCTGGCCTTGCGTACCGGTTGCCACGCTATGCCTCCTCCGCCAGCACAGTCACTCTGCCCAGCCGCCGACGCAAAAAACACGTGTGGTCTGGCCTTCCCTTTGCGAGCACGGCGGCCTCCGATCCGCCCCCGAGGCTCCTCCTCCGCGTCCTCCGCCTCCTTCTCCTCCTGCCCCCTTTCCGCTCCCCCCTCGCGAGGCGAGGAGTCGGGAGGAGGGGAGGCAAGGAGCGGACAGGAAATGGCGAAGGAGGGAGGGTAATGATGCGGGGGGCGGATGATGATGATGATGATGGTGATGATGCTGATGATGATGATGCTGATGATGATGCTGATGATGATGATGGTGATGATGATGATGCTGATGATGATGATGCTGATGATGCTGATGATGATGATGATGATGATGAAGATGGTGATGGTGATGGTGATGATGGCGACGACGACGATGATGAGAAGGAGGTGGGTGGTGGTGGTGATGGTGATGATGATTATGATGATTATGATGACGGTGATGAAGATGGGGGTGGTGGTGAGGGTGATGATGATGATGATGATGATGATGATGATGATGTTGATGATGGCGACGACGATGCTGATGATGATGATGATGATGAGGAGGAGGAGGAGGAGAAAGGTGGTGGTCGTGGTGGTGGTGGTGGTGGTGGTGATAGTGATGGTGATGATGATGCTGCTGATGCTGCTGATGATGATGATGATGATGATGATGATGATGATGATGGCGACGACGACGGCGATGATGAGGAGGCGGAGGGTTGTGGTGGTGGTGGTGGTGGTTATGGTGATGATGATGCTGATAATGACGGTGTTGATGATGCTGCTGTTGATGATGCTGACATTGATGATGAAGACTACGATGATGATGATGACGACGATGATGAGGAGGAGGGTGGTGGTGGTGGTCATGGTGAAGATGATGACGATGATGATGATGATGGTGGTGGTGGCGGGGGTGGTGATGGCGATGCCGATGACGATGACGATGATGATGAGGATGGTGAGGATGATGATACTCATGATGACGGTGATGATGCTGATGATGATGGCAGTGGTTGTTGTGAGGATGATGATGCTGATGATGATGATGGTCATGACGACGACGACGATGACGATGATGATGATGATGGTGGTGATGGTGATGATAATATTTGTGATGATGATGCTGATGATGACGAATCTTGTGATGATGATGATGACGATGATGAGGAGGAGGCGGGTGGTGGTGGTGGTTGTGGTGGTGGTGGTGGTGGTAGTCATGACGATGACGATGACGGGCACGATGACTATGACGATGATGATGCTGAATGTGATCAAGGAGGTTATGATGATGATGGTGATGATGATGATGATGATGATGATGATGATGATGGTGATTATGAGGAGGAGGGTGGTGGTGGTGGTGGTGGTGGTGATGGTGACGATGATTGTTGTGGTGGTGGTAATGATGACGAAGGCGATGATGATTGTGATGATGCTGATGATGATGCTGATGATGATGACAACGTTTATGATGATTCTGATGATGATGAAGATGGTGATTATCATGACTATTACGAAGGCCTAGCGGCCAGTGCCGCCGACCCTGAATGGCGACGACGACGACGACGATCGCTCTCGGGGGCCTCTTCGGGGTAGTTTGGGGGCCTCTTGGGAAGCTCTGGGGGGCCGCTTGGAAGCCTCGTGGGGGCCTCTTGGGGTCTCTGTGGGTCTCTTGGGGGCTTCTTGGGGCTTCTTGCGGGGCTTCTTAGGGACCTCTGGGGGCCTCCTGAGAGCTTCTCAGGCCGAGGGCTCGAAATGTCCGTTGGGGTCCCCTGGGCTCCTCCTTGGAGCCGTCATGGGGGCCTCTTCGGCTGTCTTGGAGGCCTCTTGGTGGGTCTTGGGGCC